AGACTCGCTTGAGCCCAAGAGTTGGAGGTTGCTGTGAGCTATGATGCCATAGCACTCTACCCAGGGGGACAGCTTGAGGCTCTGTCTCAAAAAAATAAAAAATAAAAAAGATATATTACCTTATGATTTAAGGATTAAGATGAAGAGTTGAAAAATATATACAGTTTGGCTTATTGGAGTGGAGGAGGTTATCCTTGAAGATATTTCGTAGTTTAAAGGACATTCATGAACTGGTGGTCACTGAACATCCAGTAAATAAAATGAATGTACTGTCTCATCTGGTATATTAAGAAGAAAATTCTAGTCCATCACCCCTATTTTCAATTTAACACATTTCAACTCTTTCTTATAGAAACGCCAAGAGGAATTTAAAGAGGCATTTCATAAAATATTCTAGGATATTTATGCTTGGTGTCAATGCAAGTCTACAGTTTGGAAGACTACCTCAATGATCTCTCTTTTAACTGCCCATTCAGGATGGAGAAGTTATGCTATCAAAGTTACTAAAAGAAAAGATAATAGGATGGTAGTAGAAAGGTTCAAAATTATCATGAGCTGGAAAACTTAAGATAAAATTTATAACATAAAAAGTCTGTTGTAGATTTTACAGAAGAACTGAAATATAAAACATAGGAAAAGAGGTACTATTTTGAAAGTGGTTTATTTTAAAAGCAAGCAAACAGGCTTGCCGCTTGTAGCACAGTGGTTATGGCGCCAGCCACATACACCAAGGCTAGTGGGTTTGAACCCGGCACTTTACCGAGGGCAACATAATGAGACTCTGTCTCAAAATAAATAAATAAAAGCAAACAAACTAACCAACCTATAGGATTTTCACTGTTAACATAGTTAACATAAGCTAACACACTGCTAAATTTACTTCTCAGAAAATTTAATAATCATGTGTCACATTAAAAGAAGTATGCTGGCCCGGCGCCTGTGGCTCAAGTGGCTAAGGCGCCAGCCACATACACCTAAGGTGGCGGGTTCGAATCCCCAGCCCGGGCCTGCCAAACAACAATGATGGCTGCAACCAAAAAATGGCCAGGCGTTGTGGCGGGCGCCTGTAGTCCCAGCGACTTGGGAGGCTGAGGCAGGAGACTCGCTTGAGCCCAGGAGTTGGAGGCTGCTGTGAGCGTGATGCCATGGCACTCTACCCAGGGGGATAGCTTGAGGCTCTGTCTCCAAAAAAAAAAAAAGAAGTATGCTATCTAAGACGATGTGAAATATCCTTCCCATGATATTCTTTACTAGCAGACCACCTCTGATACAGTGTACTAAAATATGAGATAATATTTCAAGAATACCATGAATCAGTAAATAGCACCTTCAGACGAACAAAGTGATAAGACTGGCATGGAGAAAATCTGGGATGGATAACAAGACAGAAAGGGTAGCAATAAATTTGGCCAAGGCTATACAATTCACTGACCCTGGTACATTGGTCATTTTCATGTTTCTTCTATAAAACAGGGATAACATAGAGAACATCCTAACTTTCTGGAGTGCTTTAGGTGAAACAGTGCTAACAGACAACCAAAATAATTGGTAGAGCAAATGTTTCATCTATGACTGTTGTGTCTATTATTGAATTAAGAACTCCTTCGGCTTGGTGCCTGTAGTGCAGTGGTTAGGGTGTCAGCCACATACACAGGGGCTGGTGGGTTGAACCCAGCTCAGGCCTGCTAAACAATAAGGACAACTACAAGAAACAAACAGTCGGGCATTGTGGCGGGCACCTATACTCCCAGCTACCAGGGAGGCTGAGACAAAGAATCCCTTAAGCCCAAGAGTTTGAGGTTGATATGAGTATGGATGCCACAGGTACCATGGGCAACATAAGTGAGACTCTGTCTCAAAAAAAAAAAAAAAAAAAAAAAAGAACTCCCACTTCTCCTGCGAATAGAACCAAAGTCACCAAGTAGAAATTCCAGGAGACAGGTTCTACTGGAGACATATATTCCCCAGCTCTTATAAGACAACACAGGCTCAAATGTAATCTCGATTTTCAAATATATGCCAACTGGTTATAGGTCATAGATGTGATAAAAGAAACTAAGACTGTCTGTAAAGGACTGGCTCAAATGACATAACATTTTCCTTTCAACCCAGTTTCTGATTTTCTGTCCTATAGAAATAAAAATTAAATCAAACCAAGAAATTAATAAAGTCGTCTAAAGAGACTAGTAAGAAAATTAAAGAACTGATTTTTCTCAACTGTTCCAAAACTTCCTTACTCAAATATAATTTCATTTACTGGATTACAGTGTAAAGCCTAAAAGCGACCACAAAATTCAGATAACATACTTTGGAGTAATTATGTCTAAGTACTTATACCGTGCTTGTACGGTTTACACACATAATTGTTCTAGTTAATGGACAAAGTTTCCCTTTGCATTACTTTATTTAAATCTATTTTTAAAAAATCAAAAATATTTACCTCCACCAAACTCTTTTGAACGAGATGCATCAGCAATGCCATTCTCTAAGCGACCAGCTTCATAACACTATGAATAAGTAAAAAAAAAAACATGGTTTGCAGAGAAATAGAAATAAACTCTTCACTTGCCAAAGTTTGTATTTTCTACACCACCAGATAAGGAATCCTGGCTGGTTGTGGCAATTAAAAGAACAGTATATTATGCTCACGTCAGCACCACATATACTAAAATCGGAATGATACAGAGAAGAGTAGCATTATAAAATATAATGTATATTTTAGGTTTGATAATAGCAAAGGGTTGAAAACAAACTTAAAGAGGAAAAGCATCAAATAAAAAAAGTTCACCAAAAGTCTCGTGCTCAGTTCTATTCACCACACCCTTAAATTTAAAATCCACCTTCCTAAAACTTATTTATAGCCTTTAGATTTAACACAGACTTATTTACTTCATGAATTCTGAATTAAATAGCTCTAAAAAAACATGGAATGTCTTTCTAACTGAAGTGGTTTAAACATAAATCTAAATGAAAGCAACATTAAATCTTAAAACATAATTGGGCGGCGCCTGTGGCTCAGTGAGTAGGGTGCCAGCCCTATCCTATATACCGAGGGTGGTGGATTCAAACCCAACCCCAGCCAAAACTCAACAACAACAACAAAAAAACCCCATAATATTCAGGGTAGCACCTGTGGCTGAAAGGAGTAGGGCGCTGGCCACATATGCTAGAGGTGGTGGGTTCAAACCCAGCCCTGGTCAAAAACTGCAAAAAAAAAAAAGTTTTCTAAAAACATAATATTCAGACATCAAGAGTCTAATCAAGGCGGTGTCTGTGGCTCAGTAAGTAGGGTGCCGGCCCCATATACTGAGGGTAGTGGGTTCAAACTTGGCCCAGCCAAACTGCAACAAAAAAATAGCCAGGCATTGTGGTGGGTGCCTGTAGTCCCAGCTACTCTGGAGGCTGAGGCAAAAGAATCACCTAAGCCCAAGGTTAGGAGGTTGCTGTGAGCTGTGATGCCATAGCACTCTACCGAGGGACGATAAAATAAGACTCTTGTCTCTTAAAAAAAAAAAAAAAAAAAAGAGCCTAATCAAGGGTGGTGCCCGTAACTCGGTGGGTAGGGCACCAGCCACATACATCAAGGCTGGTGGGTTCGAACCCGGCCCAGGCGACCTAAAATAATAATGACAACTGCAACAACAACAAAAAAAACAGCCGGGCATTGTGGCAGGTGCCTATAGTCCAAGCTACTTGGGAGGCTGAGGCAAGAGAATCGCTTAAGCCCAAGAGTTTAAGGTTGCTGTGAGCTGTGATGTATACCAAGGGTGACATAGTGATACCTATGTCTCAAAAAAAAAAGTCTTATCGTGGCTAATAAAAGAAGCAAATGTTAGGTGGCAAGTTAAAGAGAACTCCTAGACAAAGTCTCAAAATAGATTTGCATAATTTAAAGATGAACAGCATATATATCCTTTAGATAACCAATTTTATAGTACACTGGACTAGTTTCGGTGGCTCACACCTATTAATTTCTAAACTTAAGGAGACTAATGTGGGAGGATGCTAGAGATAAGGATTTTAAGATTGACCTGGGCAATAAAATGAGACTCTGTTACCACCCATTTAGTACTACTCTGTTAGTACCCCATTACTACTGCCCCGAATTTAGTCGGGCATGGTGGTGCTCACCTGTGGTCTTAGCTTTGGGAGGCTGAAGCAGGAGGATCATGTGAGCCCAGGAATTCAGGGTTACACTGAGCAATGATAGTGCCACAGCACTACAGCCTGGCCAATAAAGTAAGACCTTCAGTAAAAAATTTAAAAAGTTGAAAATTTCTTAGGCTCCGAGTTGTCTCATGCCTATAGTCCTAGCACTTTGGGAAGCTGAGGCAGGAGGATTGCTTGAGACCAGCCTGAGTAAGTTGTATTAAATATAGAAAAAAATAGCCCAACATGGTAGCAAACACCTGTACTCTCAGCTACTTCAGGGACAGAAGCAGAAGGATCATTAAAGCCCAGTAATCTATAACGATGCCATTGCACTCTTGCCTGGGTGACAGAGGGATACTTTATGCCAGGAAAGAAAAAAAATGGATAATTTAATTTAAAAATATAATTCTTTAACTGTCAAAAGCACTGAAACAAAAGAATTCAAATGTTCTCACAATCACAGTCAGGTAACAATGTAGGAAACTTTCTTCTTGTCTTGTCAGTTTTATAAAATAAGACAGAAACAATAGTAGATAAGAAATCATACTATATGAATAAAAATCTGTTCTGCTTAGAATGAAAAAGGCCATGAACTTAATATAAGTGCCTTGCAAGATGCCAGTAACTTACTTTACATCTAGTCTGCTGTGGATGTGCATTAAACTACCTTACTTTCTGTAGGGGGAGGCAGATGATTTTTTTTTGGTCTGATCAGTGTATGTAGTGGGAGGCTCAGGGAGAGCTTCCTGGCTCACATCTTCCCTCTCCTGGGAGTTTGTGACTCACCCCAGGAAGGAAGAATGTCTAAGTAGGATGGCAGGCAGAGCAAGGATGACAACTGTAGGATTAGGATCTGAAAGGGGCTCAGGATGATGTAGAAAATGAGAGGTGCTACGCCATCCAGATAAAATGTCCATCAGAGCAGAGGTATGGAGGAAGAACGTCCCCTGGAGGCTTTATACTGGGTCCTTTATGCCATTAACATCTCCCAGATGTAGTTCTCAGCTCTAACAACTCTCCACTTGTTAGGATTTTTTCTGTTCTAGTTCCTTAATTTTCTCTTCTGCTTTCCTATGTTTCTCTAACAGCTGGTTGTGAATTACCACCTTTTAGTTGAAGAATAAACATTGTTCCTATACCTTCGTATATGTTAGTTTCATCTACTAAAGTCATAATTTATCTGTAAAATGTAAATAATCTATCTGTAAAATTCGATCTGTATGTCTGCGCAATTTACCTTCTGTTACATGTTAATAATGTTGGCTTGAAGGTCTCTGAAGGTCTTTTTCAACTCCAGATCCATGAGGCCACCATATTGATGCAAGCCACTGTACCGTTAAGGTACTAACTCAACAGTGAATCCCTCCCTTTCTAACTTATTGATTAATCCAGAGATACTGGTCTACCTGGTAACTCATGATCTAGTCCCAAAGTGGAAGTAAATACATTTAGCTTCAATTTTATGACAAAATATACCTTAGAGTAATGAGGACCTCAACAATGGCACATATAAGGTCAGATGGCATGAGTGACTCCTAAAACAGGTAAGAAGCCACTTTCCAGCACAGTCTGGGGCTAGCCATCACCAATACTGGTTTTTCTCTTGCTTTCGTGCTTAATATAATGCCAACCTTCCCCCCCAAAAACAAAAATTCAACAGCATCAGAGAGTTACTAAGTATTATCTAAAACTTAAAAAGAGGCCCAGCACCTGTAGCTCAAGCAGTTAAGGCGCCAGCCACATACACCACAGCTGGCGGGTTTGAATCCAGCCGTGGCCTGCCAAACAACGACAACTACAATAAAAAAATAGCCAGGCGTTGTGGCGGGCACCTGTAGTTCCAGCTACTAGGGAGGCTGAGGCAAGAAAATCACTTAAAGCCCAGGAGTTGGAGGTTGCTGTGAGCTGTGATACCATAGCACTTTACCCAGGGCGACAACTTGAGGCTCTGTCTCAAAAAAACTTAAAAAGAGGTAAGGGCTGGCTACAGAGGCTCATGCCTGTAAACCTAGTATTTTGGGAGGGTGACAGTGGAGCTCACCTAAGCAACAGGAAGACCCTGTCTCTATAAAAAACAGAAAACTTAGCTGGGCACAGGGGTGCACGTCTATCGTCCCAGGTGCATGGGAAGGTGAGGCAGAAGGATGGCTCACAGCTCGGGTGTTTGAGCTATGATCACACCACTGCAATCTAACCAATGGACAGGGCAAGACACTGTCTGTTAAAAAAAAAAAAAAAAAAAAAGGAATATTGAGAGACCGAGAGAGGAAGAGATAGATATTAGAGATTTGTTAGCAAATGATACTTGGAACAACTAGATAGCAATATGGGGAAAAAATTAACTTCAAAATTCCATCTCAAATTTCAAGATGGAACAAAGACCTGTATGTAACACCCAGAAACACAAACAAATATATAAAGCACTCCTTTAAAAAAAAAATTAAGTATAAAATAATAAAGCCTATTCAGAAATATATTTCAAGTGAATTCACAAAGATATAAGAATGCCATTAAGCACATACTATAAGCACATCACTAACCATCAGAGAAATACAAATTGAAATCATAATGTGATGTCATTTCACATCCACCAAAAAAGCTAGATTTAAAATGACTGATGAAGCCAGGCTTGGTTGGGTCATGCCTGTAATCCTAGCACTCGGGAGGCAGAGGCAGGGGAAGCCAGAGTTAGAGACCAGCCTGAACCAGAGCCAGATCTCATCTCTAAAAATAGCCAGGCTTTGTGGCAGGCACCTGTAGTCCCAGATACTTGGGAGGCTGAGGCAAGAGAATCACTTAAGCCCAAGAGCTTGAGATTGCTGTGTACTCTATGAGGGTGACAAAGTGAGATCTTGTCTCAAAAAATAAACGTGCTTGGTGCCTGTAGCTCAGCAGGTTCGACCCATCCTGGGCCTGCTAAACAACAATGACAACTGCAACCAAAAAATAGCCAGGCATTGTGGCTGGTACCTGTAGTCCCAGCTACTGGGGAGGCTAAGGCAAGAGAATCACTTAAGCCCAACTATTAACTGTAACGCCACAGCACTCTACCCAGGGTGACATAGTGATACTCTGTCTCAAAAACAAACAAACAAACAAGTAAATAAATAAATAGACTCACAAATCAAATGTTAGTAAAGATGTGGAAAACCTAGAACTCTCATATATCGCTAGGGGAATATAAAGTAGCAAAACCACTTTGGAGTTAACTGAAAATTTAACATATACAAAAGTAGCAATTCTAAGTTTTTATACTAAGAAAAATAATATGTGTATGCTATGAGGTTCTGTACTCATATAAAGTTTACATGTTAGAAAATTAATCCTTAATCGATCAGTGCTGAGTGGTGGGACATTTAAAGTGATGAGGGCTCTAAGAGTAGAATGTGAACGTTTTAAAACAATAACTAAGAAAATGACATGAAGGCTATGTTAACCAGTTTGATGGAAGTATTTCGGATTGTGTGTGAAAACCCCCACACTGTATTCCAGAAGTGCATTAATGTACATAGTTACCATTCAATTAAAAAAAAAAAAAAAGAAGTGATGAGGGCTCTATCCTTAGGAATGGATTAATGTCATTTATGCAAGAGTAGATTCCATATAAAAAAAGATAATTATGGTCCTCTTCCCTCTCCCAAAAGAGCATGCTCTCTTCCCCTTTCACTTTCTGCTCTGTGATAATAATAAAGCAAGAAGAACCACACCAAATGAGGGTCCCTTGACCTTAGACTTCCAGAGCTTCAGAAATGTGAGCAAAAACATTTATGTTTACAGACTGCTCAGTCTGTGGTATTGTTACATGCAGATAAAATGCATTAAAACAATCCCCAACAAGGAGACTTGAAAAAAATACACCAGCCTTATGATTAAAACTCCTAAAATGAGAAAAGACCCAAAGGTGCATCAAGTGGAGAAGGGAAAAGCAAACTGCGATACAATCATAGGAATTAAAACATAGGAGTAAATAGCAATGAAAACATAGATGTAAACAGCAATGAAAAGGAACAAACATCACTGTGGATGTATCTCAACAATGTAGAGAAGAGTCCAGAATAAAACAAATCATACTGATGTCTATAAGTAATCAAAACTAATCTACAGTTAAGAGAAGAAAACATTTCCTTTGCACAAGAGTGGTGAAAGGACTGAAAAGAGGTTAAAAAAAAAAAACAAAAAAACAAAAAACAACTTTCCAGGGCGATGACTATAGATGATACATAGTTTGGGTGGTAGTGACATGGTATACTATCTAAAGTCATTGAACAGAACAATTAAGATATATGTACTTTATTGATACAAATTACATCTCAATTTAAAACTTCTAGGATATATTTGCATACATAAAACTATTATTTTTCTAAGTAAATATATTAAATGGCATTTTTTATCCCCTTTGGAAAAAAATCAGCCCACAAACATAACAGGTCACATTTTAGATTTGAACTGCACGTGACAGAGAAAGGTTACACAAATGAACACAATTATTAAAGTAATTTAGTTTCAAAACCACTGAGAATTAACTCATTCACTTGAATACATTCTTGTAATTTATCTACACCTCATCTCCAGCAGCAGCCTCCTGTGTGTGACTCACCTTACACAATACTATTAAGTTCATCACCTTATTGCCAAGAGTCACTTCCATCCTCAAAAATAGTCTAATGAATGCTAATTTTCCTTCTCTACTCATCTACCTCTTCCAACCATCTTGCTAAATGGCTACGGTGTTTGAGTAAGACAGAGAGGGAAAGTGCTACAGAAGAAAGTTACCACAGGCTTATTAAGAGCATAGGGTTCAATGAGAGAATGGCTGAGTTTAAGAGATGAAGACAGTCACTGAAGGTTATGCAAATTGCAAAGAAAGTTCAGAGGACAGGAGATGTAGTCTACAATAATTAATAAATCTAAGTCAGACGGCTGCTTTAAGAAAAAAATTAGAAAGTATGCTGTTGTTGGGCGGTACCTATGGCTCAAAATAGTAGGAGGTGGTGGGTTCAAGCCTGTCCCTCGGCCAAAACAAACAAACAAACAAACAAAAAAACAATATGCTTTTGTTAAAAAATAAGGTATAAAACACAAATAAACTTTACAATTTTAGGCTTGGCGCCTAAAGCTCAACCGGCTAAGGTGCCAGCCACGGACACCTAAGGTGGCGGGTTCGAATCCCCAGCCCAGACCCGCCAAACAACAATGACGGCTGCAACCAAAAAATAGCCAGGCGTTGTGGCGGGCGCCTGTGGTCCCAGCTACTTGGGAGGCGGAGGCAGGAGACTCGCTTGAGCCTAGGAGTTGGAGGTTGCTGTGAGCTGTAATGCCACGGCACTCTGCCCAGGGGGACAGCTTGAGGCCCTGTCTCAAAAAAAAAAAAAAAAAAAAATTTACAATTTTATTAAACTATATGGGGAGTATTTAACAAAAGCAAAAGCTATGGCCCTTAAAATAGAATGAGAAGCACAGAAGACTGCTGTAATTAAGTATGGTTGGAAGCCCCAAAACTCAAATTATTCATGATTTAAATGTATTTTTTTCTTCAAAGGAAAAAAATTTTCAATAGGAAACCTATGCATTCTACAATTGAATTCCTAACATATAACCTGACTTACTCTTTACATATAAGGGGATCAGGATGTTTTCTAAGGAATTTGTAGTTAGCCATTATTCATTATACATAGAATTAAAACTTAATTTCCTATTCCTATACACTGTTTAATGATTTTTTTTTTTTTTTTTTTTTTTTGCAATTTTTGGCCAGGGCTGGGTTTGAACCTGCCGCCTCTGACATATGGGGCAGGCACCCTACTCCTTTGAGCCACATGTACCACCCACTATTTAATGATATTTTCTCAGCTACTAAACATGAATTCCATAAACTCATAAACTTAAATTCAAATAATTCTGCCTAGATTATAGCAGATCTGGTTCTTTTCTGAGGTAATACAAAGCCAGAATAACAGGATGAGTATAGGCTAGTGGCTTTAAAGACAGAAATTAAGTAGAAGTCAGTTAAGAGATTTTAAGCTCAGAAAAGAAATTGTGACACAAACTTTATACAATCTTAAAAGCTTTCTAAAACTTTCACTTAAAAACAAAATCTAAAACTATTTCAAACACATGGCCACACTACAGAACAGCCAAAATACAGGATATCTCAAAACACATATATGTGCCAACACTCATTTCTCTAAATATGTACATCCATGTTATAATTATTAACTATAAAAACTTTTTTTTCTTTTTTGAGACAGAGTCTCATTATATCGCCTCAGTAGAGGGCCGTGGCATCACAGCAACCTCAAACTCTTGGGTTTAAGCGATTCTCTTGCCTTAGCCTCCCAAGTAGCTGGGACTACAGACACCCACCACAACATCTGGCTATTATTTTTTTTTATGTTGTTGCTATAGCTGTCATTTTTGTTTGGCAGGCCCGGGCTGGGTTCGAACCCGCCAGCCCCACTGTATGTGGCTGGCACCCTAATCACTGAGTGACGGTGCTGAGCCAAAAAAGGTTATTTTTAAAAGTCCCTTATTTCCTGAGTTTAAATATTATTTTAGAATTGACAAACATACCTTTTTAGAAAGGCCAAGGTCACCCTTCTTGGGCATAAATCCAGGATCTAAATCATTGGATTCAAGAAGTTTCTTAGTTGGTTTTCTTTGACGCTTACTTTCATAATTTCCTGAAATGCATGTATTTTACATTAGATAATTAAGAAACTAGGCACAAGCCAACTTTAAGAAAAAAATCTATATACCACATCAAATGAGTCACAAAATATTGATGTTTTCTTTGTCATCTTATGAAGAGAGGCAGAATGGTAATTTATTTATTCTAAAATAAAACAAGTAAATCATTTTCAATGCATACACAAACTAATATGAATACTCCTATGTCAGTGTGTTATGTGTGTATAGTATGTATCTATTTGTTTGAGACAGGATCTTGCTCTGTCGCCCAAGCTGGTGTAAAGTTTAAACCTCCTAGATTTAAACAATCCTCAAGAGATCCTCCTACCTCAGCCTCTGGAGTAGCTAAGACTACAGGCATGCTGAACCATGCCCAGCTCATTCCTTACAATTTTTTGTAGAGATGGTGATTCTGTGTTCTTCAAACTCTTTTTCAATTCCTAGCTTCAACAATCCTCTCCTGCCTCAGCCCAGTGCTGGGACTGCAGGTATGAAGTCACCACAGCTGGCTATGTGTGTGTTTTAAATCACAAAATAACTAAGGGAGAAATCAAAGGGGGGAAACTACTTTCATAGCAATTGCAACTAATTAAGTGGTAAGGACAAAATTCAAAGTAAGGACTGGGTATAAATGAATGAGGATTATAATTTTTGCTGTGTCCCTATGTAAATAAAGAGTAAAATAAATAGAAGATACTTATTTAGATGGGTGGGGTGCCTCACACCTGCAATCCTAGCACTCTGGAAGGCCGAGGCGGGTCAACTGCCTCAGCTCAGGAGTTTGAGACCAGCCAGAGCATGAACGAGACCCTGTCTTAAAATATAGCTGGATATAGTGGTGAGCGCCTGTAGTCTCAGCTACTTGGGAGGATGAAGCAAAAGGATCACTTGAGCCCAAGAGTTTGAGTTTGCTATGAGCTCTGATGCCACAGCACTCTACCCAGGGTGACCAAGTGAGACTCTGTCTCAAAAAACAAAACAAACAAACCAAAAAAGATACTACTTACTTTATGAGAATACTCTTAAGTATTATGTCAAAGAGTCTAATAATAGGGTTAGGCACATAACAGGTATTAAAACAGTAAATATTTTCACTATTCTTTCAAAAATCATTTTCATTCTCCTTTACTTGATTAAGCACAATCGGTATCTTTTCTTTTATATAAGGAATAACATATCACAAACTCTGTAGGGAATGTTAAAGTTATATCCAAAATTTGGGCACAACTACAATAGGGACCTTATCTAACAAATGCAAACACTGTAACCTAATTGTACCCTTTTAATAATCTGAAAGTTTTTTAAAATGTAAAAAGAAAAAAACAAACAAACAAAAAAACACCTCAAAAGCAAAATTTGAGGTTATATGCAAAATTTAAAGGGATACAGAAGAGAAGGATTCTTCCCATTCTTTGGCTAATGACAATATGAAATAGTAAAAAGGTGACTTAGATAGAGAGATGGTATATTTAGATTCAACCCTCCCAACAAGACCTGTATGTTAAGAATGATGAAGAGAAAAGCAAATGGTAATTAACTTCTAGGGAATATTTAGATTAGCTGCTTACTATGTGTCAGGTATCCAATAGCATACATTATTATATATGATCTCCATTTTATAGATGAGGAAACAAGTTTAGAGGCTAAACAAGTTCCCAAGTAAAACAGGGACTAGTGGAGCCAATATATGAGGCACAGGTTTCAAGTGCTTATTCTTCTAGTGAGTAGTGCCCATCCTTAAACCTTGTTATTCTCATTATAGATTTACACAGTAGGTGATCAAAAATCAAGAAGAAGAACAATGTAATCAAAAAAGTAGTTTTAAGATATATGTCTTCTTGACAGTGTGCTAAAAATAAATTTGTGGGCAGCAACTTTATCTAATTACACAGAATTCAAGGGATTTTTCAAGCAAAAGTGGGTAATTTAATGTATATACATGCAATGCTGGCTTTGCATCAAAATCACCTAAAATTTCCTGCTTCCTCTAATCACATTTGTTTAAATACTGAAACCCCATCCCCACCTTACCTGGTGTTTTAACTAGTAATTCCTCAGACTCAAGGGCAGGTCGTGGAGAGACTTCCGGAGCCACAGGCACAGACAAGGTCAGCTGTGGCAACTCAGCATGTCCACCTCCAAGTTCTGACTGAGCCAAGGGCCCCTCCAAAAATGGAGCCTCCCTTTCAAGAACTGGGGGCTCTTCTTTGGTTGAAATCAAATTATTCTCATCCACCTGCTTGTTCTGAGCACTAGATCGACATCGGGCTACAAGGCTTTCCTCTTCACAGCGGGAACTTACCTAAAAACAAAATAAAAATAGAACCCACAGACCAAAATTGTTACAATTTGAGTGTCTAAAAGAACAATGCACTTTAAAAGGAATGAAATTCTTAAACACATGCTGCAACAGGCATAAACCTTAAAGACATTCTTGAAATTAGCCAGACACAAAGAATAAACATTATATAATTCTACATATATGAGGTTATCTAGAAAAATAAACTTCATAAAACAAAATGAGCTATACACTTAAGAAAGTGGTAAAGGCAGGGCGCAGTGGCTCATGCCTGTAATCCCAACACTCTAGCAGGCTGAGGTGGGTGGATTAATTGAACTCATGAGTTCGAGACTTGCCTAAGCAAAAGAAAGACCCTGTCTCTACCAAAAATAGAAAAACTGAGGCAAAAGGATCTCTTGAGACCAAGTTGGAAGTTGCTGTGAGCTATCACGCCTCAGCACTCTACTCAGGGCAGCAGCTTGAGACTGTCTTAAAAAAAAAAAAAAGTGGTTAAAATGTCCAGTCTGGTACCCTCCATGATGAAAAGAAAAACATGCAGTTAACTGAGATACACTGAAGCTATAAACATTCCTAACTGCACAAAAATAATCTACAAATGGAGGGGAAAAAACCTTTTCTAAAATGTCACCAATTACAACTACTAACGAACTCCTTACTGTCAAAATTGGTAACTAGGCTGGGTGAAGTGGCTTAAGCCTGTAATGTTAGCACTCTGGGAGGCTGAGACAGGGGGATCCCTTGAGCCCAGGAGTTCAAGACCAACTTGAACAAGTGTAAGACCCTACATCTATTAAAAATAGAAAAGTTAGTCACATGTAGAAGCAGTCCCAGCTACCAAGGAGGCTGAGGCAGGAGGATGAGAAGTTTCAGGTTGCAGGGAGCTAGGCTGTTACCAGGGCATTCTAAACTGGGGCAAGAGAGAAACCCTGTCTCAAAAAACAAACAAAAACAAGTAATTAATGGAAAGAAATAAGCATTAATTCTTCCTGTAAAGTATTATAGAAGAGTGAAGAGTTCAGTTAATGAATGAGATTGTCAGCTAACAAAAATAGAGAAGGCTCAGTGCCTGTAGCTCAGTGGCTAGGGTGCCCGCCACAAACACTGGGGCTGGAGAGTTTGAACCCGGCCTGGGGCTGCTAAACAACAATGACAACTACAACAAAAAAAATAGCTGAGCTTTGTGGTGGGTGCCTGTTGTCCCAGCTACTTGGGAGACTGAGGCAAGGGAATCACTTGCACCCAAGAGTTTGAGGTTGCTGTGAGCTGAGACGCTACAACACTCTACCAAGGGCAACATAGTAAAACTGTCTCAGGAGAAAAAAAAAACGAAAATAAAAACAAAGGGGGGGAAGACAATCTGAAAGTCTTCATTTATAAAAGCTATTGAAAAATTGTTGTTTTAGGCAAGTATTTCAATTGATGTTTTTGAAAAATCATCAGAGAAACTGCTGATGGAGAACCTGACATTCTTTTTGAACCAAAGGAGTTACATACGTTCTGTTTACTGCTTCTTGATCAAAGAAGGCAAAACATAATTTTAACAGGTTAAGTTCTACCTTACCCCAAACAAAGAACACCTATGAGGAGGGATTCATGCAAATCTAGAAAGTAAACTGGGCACGGTGGCTTACACCTGTAATCCTACCACTCTGTGAGACCAAGAGTTTGAGGTTACTACGTGAGCTACAATGCCACTGCACTCTACAGAGGGTGAAAGAGTGAGAACGTCTCAACAAAAAACCAAATCTAGAAAATAGATTTTCTATGTCAAAAGCGGGCTACATGCTTTACAAATATAGACATGGTAAATGAAAATATGGACTGCTCTGGGTTTAAAGAGATTTAAGCACCATAACAATCATATAATGTTGTAGTCCTAGGCTTGGTGTAGATAAACTAAAAGTTAAGGGTTAAGTGGAGAAATCTGCATATGAGCTAATGTTCAATCAACTGATCTAATTTTAACTGGTTATAACAGAAAATTTTCTATTTTTTTTTTTAATTTTTATTGAATGGTAACTATGTACATTAATGCACTTCTGGGGTACAGTGTGGGGTTTTCACATAAATTTTCTATTTTTTAGAGGTGTACATTATATAGAGGTAGACTGTCAAAATGTCTCTAATTTACATTCATTCATTTATTCACTGATTTGAGACAAAATTTTACTCTTGTTACTGCGGTTAGAGTACAATGGCACCATCATGGCTCACTGCAACCTCAAATTCCTGGGCTCTTGACATCCTCCCAACTCAGTCTCCCAAGTAGCTGGGGCCATAGGTAATTTTTCTATTTTTGTAGAGATGGGAGGGGAGTCTCCCTATGTTGCTTAGGTTAGTTTTGAACTCCTGAGTTCAAAGGACCCTCCTATCTCAGCCTTCCAAAGTGATAGGACTACAGGCATGAGCTACTTCCTTTGGCCCTCTACTTTGTAGTAAAAATATCAGTTTAAGGAAACTAAATTTAAAGAGACAAACAACATATATATTTTAAAAATTTGGATCATACTATATGTACAGTAGCTCCACAGTTGACCACCTCCCTATACTGAATGCCTCAAGTTGACCTAATTTTCATAGATCAGACATGCACCACATGTACTGATCAGTACAGTAGGCCTACTTCCTCATGTTGACCACCTCTGTGTGTTGACCAGTTTGTAACAGTCCCTTGAGTTGTCAACTTACAAAGGTTCTAGTATGGATTATTTTTGTCCTATATTTTTACTTTATATGATAAAAATATTCCTAAGTTATTAAATACTCTAAGAAAACAAAGACAAAAAATATAGTGGAAATGCTAAAAACACATAAATACACTTTTAAAGATGTTATGTATGTATTACTTTTCAAAGTTGAATTGAATTATGGTACCAATGTATAGTATAACGTTCACTCAAAAGATGGCATTAATAAAATGAATGCTAGCATCACATGGCACAGGCAAGATAGCCAAAGAAAAAGACAGACGCCCAGTTGTTGGAGGAGCGCAAGACCATTTTAAAGTGGAATTTGAATTTTGAGAACATTGTGTGAGCACGGGGACAAAGAAGTATGAATATGCAACAGAGTGTCCAACATGCCTATCAACTGCACAGATTCATTCTAAGTTTGAGATGTATGGTAGTTGTGAAATGTCATGTACAAGCGATAAAAGTGGACATTCTAGTCAACACTGCTCAAGCAGTAGTTTGCTATAATCAGAAGTATCTAGACCCTGACAGTAACCACTTTGAGTACTCTTATAGTCACACAAGTCAAATGTATTCATCTTTTGTTATGGTATAAGAGTATTACAACATTAACATAATTTTTCCTTTCTTAAAATGTGTATATGTACACATTTCTTTGGCATCCTTTGTATATACAAAAACATATAGACACATTTTAACATTTTCTGAATAACTACTATATTCTAGGTACTAGAAGCTAAGGATAAAAAATTAAAGCAAGGTCCCACCTATGGAAATTTATTTCATAAAAATATGGCATTGAAGGCCAAATTATAGTCTCCTAAAAGGACCAGTGAAGGATTATTAAAATGTTGAAACACACCTTGTGTACCTGCTCCTGAACCTTCTTTTGTTTTTTCTTCGGAGCGAATATCTGATCATATTCTTCTGTATATTCCAAAAGCCACTTACTTGGCTTCCTAAGGCGTTTCTTCTCTGACCGCACAGCTAAAAGAAGATAAACAAGTTCAGTTATTAACCAAAAAGCTAGAGTAAAACCCAATGTTTCATGTAAAACCCAATCACCCCCATACTCCCAAAGGTACCCAGACTGGAAACTACCTAGCAAAAAGACTCTAGCTTAAGATGCAAGGTGGTCAAATGATTTACTGTGCTTTATCATACACAAAAGGAAGGCAAGGGTGGATAGAGGGACTTTTATTACTGTGCATGCATGTCTGCACATGCACACACCCATACACACAGCCCATCCAATCTTAAGTAAAAGGTTAAATTCAAACTACTGCCTAGGTTAACTGTCACAAATACAAATAAAGCTAATATGTGTCTAGCATAAAAACAGACTATAAATCAGGTAAATTGGTAAAATATACCATGAGTCACATCACAGGTTGAGTATGCCTTATCCAAAATGCTTGGGATCAGAAGTTTTTCAGATTAAAGTGTTTCTCAGATTTTGAAGTATTTGCATATACATAAAGAGACACTTGGAAATGGCGCTCAAGTCCAAACATGAAATTTATAATATATGTGTGGATCTCACACACATAGCCCAAAAGTATTTTATAAAACATTTTGAATAATTTTATTCATGAAACAAAGCTTGTGTATGTACACTGAACCATTAAAAATCAAAGGTGTCATCTGTTCACTGGCTTACACCTGTGATCCTAGTACTCTGAGAGACCGTGATGGCAGATTGCTTGAGCTCAGGAGTTTGAGACCAGCCTAACCAAGAACGAGACCATGTCTCTAGTAAAAATAGGAAAAAAGTTGAAGCTGGGGACCAGCTGCCCCAGCTACTTGGAAAGCTGAGGCAGAACCACCTGAGTCCAAGAGTTTGAGGTTGCTGTGAGCTATGATGACACCACAGCACTGAACCCCAGGATAACTAAACAGCAGAGCAGAATCACTACAATACATGTAATTAGCTGTTAAACAATAGCAACAATGATAAGCACATAGGATGCTGTGTTTTCATTATAAGGTTACTGTCTACCATATATTTCTTAATTTTTATTTTATTTTATTTATTTATTTATTTTTAAGAGAGTCTTACTTTATCGCCCTTGGTAGAGTGCTGTGGTGTTACAGCTCACAGCAACCTCCAACTCTTGCCTCAGCCTCCCGAGTAGCTGGAACTACAGGTGCCCACCACAATGCCTAGGTATTTTTTTGTTGCAGTTTGGCCAGGGCCAGGTTTGAACCCACCACCCTTGGTATATGGGGCTGGCGCCCTACAAACAGAGCCACAGGTGCCACCCTTAATTTTTATTTTTTAAATTTCAGAATGTTACAAGGGTACAAATATTTTGGTTACATACATGACGTTTTTTTTTTTTTGGAGACAGAGCCTTAATCTGTTGCCCACAGTAGAGTGCCATCACATCACAGCTCACAGCAACCTCCAACTCCTGGGCTCAAGCAATTCTCCTGCCTTTTCCTCCCAAGTAGCTGGGACCACAGGCACCTGCCACACCCCCCTGCTATTGTTTTGGTTGTAGCCCTCCTTGTTTGGTGGGCCCAGGCTGGATTCAAACCCACCAGCTCAGGTGTATGTGGCTAGGGCTGGTGCCTTAGCCGCTTGAGCCATATGCATGAGTTTTTTACAATTTGAGTCAAAGTTATAATTTTTTCTATCCGAGTATACACTGTCCCTGTTAGGTGTGAATTTGCCTATCTCCTCCTTTCCCCTTCCACCTTTATTTTAATTTTTTGTTTGTTTGTTTGTTTGAGACAGATTCTCACCAGGTTGCCCTTGGTAGACTGCCATGGCGTCACAGCTCATAGCAACCTCCAACTCCTGGACTCAAGCGATTCTCCTGCCTCAGCCTCCCAAGCAGCGGGACCATAGACCGCCACAACACCCAGCCACTTTTTTGTTGCAGTTGTCATTCTTGTGTTGCTGGCCTGGGCCGAGCTGAAAGCCCCCACCCTCAGTGTATGTGGCTGGCACCACAACCACTATGCTACAGGGTACTCAGCCTGTATTTTAATTGTTTAAGTGATAAGAAAAATCAGAACAGTTGAATGACCAGGAAATAGGAGTCTAGGGATAAGGAAGTGCTGTGCTGTATAGCTTCTATAAATGTTTCCTACAGTGTCATTTGCCTTATTAATAGTTTTTGTCTGAGATGTCTTTCATTTTATAAACTGGCATGATTTCTTTTTCTGTTATAAAGGCACACTGTTCTAATCCATCAAGGAGCCTATCTCACATTTTGATGACATCCCTAGGCACTTTGCAATATTAACACTTCCATCTTCATCATCACTATTTGCACAATCACCTTAATTCAGAACCACTTCAGCTATTTCACCATCAGTCAATGAATGAACAACGAAACCTCATTATCAATTCTAAAAACTCCTTCGCAATGTACTTCTTTCAGGTTACTGATGGACTCTGAAAGTATATTTTTTATATACGTGATAAGGTCAGATACCATTTTTGGTGTATGTAATATTTCAAAGTCACTACCTTGTTCCTCATCAACACTAACCATCGCCACAGGTGAGAGGATGTGCCAGGCATACACAAACGTGTTCCACATACTGACAACAGCATATGCATTCTTCATGTTAAACTCCACTGCATGCACTTGGTGTCTGTAGCACAGTGGTTACGGAGCCAGGCACATACCCCGGGGCTGGCAGGTTTGAACCCAGCCCGGGCCTATTAAACAGCAATGAAAACTGTTAACAAAAAATAGCGGAGCTTGGCTCGGTGCCTATGGCTCAAGTGGCTAAGGTGCCAGCCACATACACCTAAGGTGACAGGTTCGAATCCAGCCCAGGCCCGCCAAACAACAATGATGGCTGCAACCAAAAAATAGCCAGGCATTGTGGTGGGCGCCCATGGTCCCAGCTACTTGGGAGGCAGAGTCAGGAGACTCGCTTGAGCCCAGGAGTTGGAGGTTGCTGTAAGCTGTGATGCCACAGCACTCTACCCAGGGGGCAGCTTGAGGCTCTGTCTCAAAAAAAAAAAAAAATAGCGGAGCATTGTAGCAAGCGTCTGTAGTCCCAGCTACATGGGAGGCTGAGGCAAAAGAATCAGTTAAACCCAAAAGTTTGAAGTTGCTGTGAGCTGCGACGTCACAGCATCCTACCAAAGGTAACATAGTGAGACTGTCTCAAAAAAAAGAAAAAAAAAAAAAAAAAAACTCCACTGCATGCTATTCAAGAAAATGATATTAAGTTTACACTCCATTGATCTAATGATTTTCTATACATGACTGAAGTTACACATGGGGGAAAGCACATGGCATAAACATTTTTAGTAGAATCAGCTGGAAGATAAACAAAATAGAGGTCAAGGAATAACAAAATCTAGCAGTCATTTAGTACAGTTTTCCTGCAGTGAGCCATGAACTGCTGGTACAAAAAATTTGTGAAACCAGGCTTGGTGGCCATACCACAGTGGTTACGATGCCAGCCACGTACGCTGAGGCTGGCTAAACAACAACAAAAAAAAGCCAGGCATTGTGGCAGGCACCTGTAGTCCCAGCTACCGGAAGGCTGAGGCAGGAGAATCACTTAAGCCTAGGAGTTTGAGGTTGCTGTGAGCTGTGATGCCAAACCACTCTACTGAGGGCAATATTTTGAGACCCTGTCTCAAAAAAAAAAAAAGTTAGCATAATAATGGACTGGTAAGAAATTAAATCCTTAAAAACAGCCTTGCCAACCATACCAAGTTTACGCTTAGGCATAACTACTGCATTAGCAAATCCCAGCAGATAATTCTGTCCCTGGCATCCTTAATTTCTCTAGGGGCTATCTCATTAGCTGTAGTCAGTGTGCTTCTGGGACAATAATGCCAAAACACTAATGTTTCGTAAACATTACAAACTTGTCTGGTGTCAGATTTTCATGAGTGACGACTGACCCTGGCAAACTCAGTAATGCATTTCTCTGCTACTTCGTGATCAGCAGGTGCTTCATCATCACAAACCTTGAAAACTTTAATGCGATATTTTTTCTTAAATTTCTGTAATCAGTTTGATTAAAATTCATAGATGAATTTTAGTTCAGTTTTCAGTTCATGACAAATCTTTACAAGTTTCATGATTGGCAAACATTAAGCTGCAGGTGTTCACTACAGTGCTAATGGACCGAATGTCAATACACGATTGAGATCTTCATTTTTAGCTTCATGCTGCATTTTTCTATCGTTTATTGACCTCTGTTCATCACTTTCAACATAGAACTTAAACAGTTTACCCGTATGTGTCTTTGGGGCATGTATGGTAAACTTATACTCTTCTATACAATATTTCATATTTATGCCACTGTCTAGTTTCTCTATAGCTTGACTTTCTATGCTACAGACGATAAAAATTTCATTACCTTTTGTGGACATACTTGCATGGGGAAATATGAGCATGCACAGAATATGTATCAAAGGTATGGAAAGCTAGAATATTCTTTTTTCCCTTTGGGATGATGAATAAACTGTGTTATGTGCCTGTGCTTTGACTGTGACCTAACACATGAGGTCACAAGTAGAATTTCCACTTGTTGCATCATGCCAGTACCAAACTGTTTCGGATTTTGGAACATCGGATGTAAGACATTTAGATTACGGATGCTCAAGGCTGTATGTTAAATAACGTCTCACTGGGATTTTATGCACAACATCAGGTAGACACGTAGTGAGACTACTACTCAATCAGCCATACCATGTGAGTTTGAAAAGCAGTTTACAAACAGTTTACTGATTTATATCACATGGTCATATTGAGTTTCACACTTGAAAAGAATTCTGGCCACCTGCTTTTTAAAAATCTAATCATGTTGGCTTGGCACCCATAGTACAGTAGTTACGGCACTAGACACATGCACTGAGGCTGGTGGGCTAGAATCTGGTGCAGGGCCAGCTAAGCAACAATGCCAACTGCAACAACAAAAAGAATAGCCAGGCGTTGTGGCAGGTGCCTGTAGTCCCAGCTACTTGGGAGGCTGAGGTAAGAGAATCGCTTAAGCCCAAG